ATGCAGGCTTCTGAACAGAGCATTGATAACAACTTGGGCTATCCTTGTCCTCTCTGGTCCGGATGACATGTCGTCCCAGTGTTCCATAAAGAACTTCAAATCGTGACTCATCTGACCACAGAACAGTCTTCCATTTTGCCACACTCCATTTTAAATGACCCCTGGCCCAGTGCAATCTGAGCTTGTGGAGCTTGCTTAGAAATAGCTTCCTCTTTGCACTGTAGAGTTTCAGCTGGCAACGGCGGATGGCACGGTGGATTGTGTTCACTGACTATGCTTTCTGGAAGTATTCCTGAGCCCATTCTGTTATTTCCTTGACAGTGGCATTCCTGTTTAAGGTGCAGTGACGTTTAAGGGACCGGAGATCACGAGCATCCAGTAGAGTTTGACGGCCTTGACCCTTACGCACAGCGATTGTTCCAGATTCTCTGAATCTTTTGATGATGTTATGCATGGTTGATGATAATAACTTAAAAGTCTTTGCTATTTTATGCTGGGTAACACCATTCTGGTATTGTTGCACTATCTTTCTGCGCAACAATGGTGGAATTGATGATCCTCTTACCATCTTGGCTTCTGAGAGACACTGACACTCTGAGAAGCTCTTTTTATACCCAATCATGTTGTCAATTGACCTAATTAGTGTTAATTAGTCTTCCAGCTGTTCGTTATATGCTCAAGTTCCTTTTGCCATCCACTTATTGCCACTTGTCCCAACTTTTTTGGGATTTGTTGACACTGTGAAATTTTGAATCAACATATTTTTCCTTTAAAATGTTACATTTACTCAGATTAAACTTTTGATCTGTCATCTATGTTATATTACGAATAAAATATTGACATTTGCCATCTCCACATCATTGCATTCAGTTTTTATTCACAATTTGTTTAGTGTCCCAACTTTTTTGGAATCCGGTTTGTAATGAATGCATGTATTACTCTCTCCAGGTTATTTTTGGACAATATGGGCTTCAGTTTAGACAGCCGCCTCAGTTGGAAGAAACATGATTTAACAATCATGTTTACATGATTGTTAAGTTTCAGGGAAGGGTCTATTATCACGCCCAGATTAGTGACTCTGTTTTTCTGACAGGGTTAGAGCGGAGAGGTCGATGCAGTGGTTAGTGATCGTGCCGTTGGGAGGGAATAACATGACTTCAGACTTCTTTTCATTGAAACTTAAGAAATTTAAAGCTATCCAGTCCCTGATGTCAGCCAGGCAGTCGAGCAGAGGTTGAATAGAGCATGTACCATTGTGTCTTAAGGGGAAGTAAATTTGACAGTCATCAGCATAGAAATGAAAGGGTATGTTGCGTTTCCGGAAAATAGCACCAAGTGGCAGCAGGTATAGAGAGAATAGGAGGGGACCCAGGATGGACCCCTGCTGAACCCCCCATTTAAGCTCTGCCGCTACAGAACTAAAATCCTTTATGGAGACACAAAAGGATCTGTCAGTGAGGTAGGATCTGAACCAACTGAGGGCTGACCCTGTGATGCCCACCCACTGCTCCAACCTAGTAATGAGGATCTCATGGTCGATGGTGTCAAAGGTGGCTGTGAGGTCCAATAGGACAAGCAGCACAGAATCACTGGTATCAGTGGTCAAGAAAATGTCATTAAAGACCTTCAGCTGGGCAGTTTCAGTGCTGTGGAGAGGTTTAAAGCCAGATTGGGATAGCTCTAAGATGGCGTGATCCTCCAGGACGCACTTCAACTGGGACTCGACTATTTTCTCCAGTAGTTTTGAAACAAATGGGAGTCTGGAGACAGGCCAGAAGTTGGACACGACTGAGGGGTCAAGGTTTGGTTTTTTTGGAGAGGCTGGACAGCAGCATGTTTAAAGGATTTTGGCATTACACCAGTGGATAAACTACTATTTACTATATCAAGAATGGACGGACCTAGAGTAGGAAAAGCCTCCTTTAGTAGTCGAGGGGGGACCACATCAAAGGGGGAACCAGAAGGTTTCCACATTTCTTGCAATCATTTAAATGTTTTTCAGCCTAATTCAGCAAATCATGCTCTCCCAGCTTTCTTCTAGTAATTTAAGTAAGTTACAGCGGTAACACCACGGAAAAACACTGGGGTACAGTTTGTTTTGGTCTATGGACTGGAAAGATGGCACGTGAGACGTAAACGCCCCCAAACGTCTCTACGCAGTGACGTAGGTTCTAAAGCTCTATAAGGAGCAGTTGGTCCTCATAATGTAGTATGTGTTTGAAAAATGAGCCTTACAAGGTAACAAACTAACACACACAGTTCAAGTCTTGTCCTCTGTGTTTTCAGCTCACCTACTTCGTGGGCCTGCTGCTGATCATGGCCTTCTCATACTGGGTGCTGGTGGACGACCGGATGGGTCAGCAAGTGTACGGGGCCGCAGTGCTGCTGGGGGTCGGCTCGGCCACCATACTGGTCATATCGCTCGCCATGACAGCTGACCTCATCGCAGATCAGACGGTAAGATGCGTGTAGCCAGTTAATCAACTTCAGGCTAGTTGTTTTAAGGGAATGCTGAGTCAGCATTCACACAAATGCTTTCTTATTATTTCATTTTATTTAATTAGAAAAATCCCCACAGAAATGCATTCAGACCGTTTCAGTTCCTTCAAAATGTTTTCTTTGAATTCTGCTTTAGCTATTTGTAGCCTTTTAGACAGGTTTTACCTTTTAGACACTGATTTGCTGCTTTTATTTAGTTTTAGTTTTGGGCGTTTTATGTATGGTTTTTCTACATTTATTGTTTAGTTACCATTTTAGTGATGACAGCTTTTAGCTATGATTTGTTAATTTTAGTTTTTATTTCATTTTTACTATTAGTTAATTCTAGTTTTGGTTATCAGCTTTGGTTTTCCTGCACCTACCCTTCAGCTACAGTTTTGCAAATTTTAACTTTTGTTCTTATGATCTGACTGTACGTGCTTGAACCCACGTGCAGGAAGATGCTGAGAAACTCCAGTCAAATAAGTAAAACTATTAAATAAACAAAACAAAATGCTGTCAGAGCAGCTAACTTACTTTAAGGTGGACAGCCAGGGAAACGGATCACAAAGCCTGATGAAGGACAATCCAGAGACACTAACAAGACACCAAGGAGCTAAATATATACAGACACTAACGAAGGTGAAATGACAGTCACCTGTAAATGATTGAATTACACACAGGTGAGACAGAGCTGGAACACAGGATGAGAAACACTGAGGGGTGACTGGAAAACACGAGGAAACACAAAAGACAGGACCAGACTCCAGAAACCCTATAGGATACCCCACTTAAGGGATGGGCCCTGAAATCCCAAGGAGAGAGCTACATCTACTTGGGTGGGAGGCGGGAAAATACAGGAAGTAGGGCACACAAAGGAACCTGAGCAGCAAGGAACAAAGGACTGACATGTAGGAACCTGGGCAATATCTAAACACAAAAGGGAACACAGAACCCCAACACCCAGATTCAAGGTATGCGGTCAGGAGACCATTCAAAGCAGGACAGAAGATCCAGGGGGTTGGCCTGGAGACCATCCATCAGTAGGCCAGAACTCTGGCAGGACACCGTCCCTTTATGAGCAGCAGTGGCGTCTACCTGTACCTTCTTGGACTCAGGTAGAAGAGGGGTGAGGAGACCCCCGGGAAGGTTTCGTGGAGACAGGCAGAGAGGCCATTGAAGAGGCTGCGATTGCAGGCCACGAGGCCACAAAAGAGACTGTGGCTGTATGCGAAGAGACCACTGGAGCGGCTGCAAGCGAACCAGCCATGAGAACCACAGCAGATGAACCAGCGGTGAGAGCCACAACAGGAGAACCAACAGTGGGAGCCTCAGCAGGAGATGAGTCCCTTGAAGGGACTGTGATTATGGCTTGACCCTGCAGATCTGCATCTGGAGACGGGTCCAGCAGGTTTGTTTCAGGAGTTGGGCCCAGCAGCTCTGCTTTTATAGATGTGGATACCAAGGAGGCTGCAGCTGATGTTGTAGAAGCCCCTGAGGCTACAGCTGATGAGATGACCCAGGAGGGTGCAGCTGAGAGTATGGAGCAAAGATCTGCAGGAGGCGAGTCGGGAGGAGAACCAGGTTGAGTAGAGGCTGGTTTGGCAGGTGCCAATAGAAGTGAGCACAGTGCACGGCTCTCTGTCCACGTTTTCTAGAAATGCTCCCACGTCCCTGGTGACTCGTTCATATTATCAGCTCTGGTGTACTTGCTGATAAAGTCCTCGTCAGTGATCATGCATTCCCTGAGATTGTTGGAACTGCAGGGTTTGTTCCCCCCCCCCCCCCCCCCCCCCATACAGGAGCGTGGGTTCAGCAGCTTGCCAATCAGCTGTTTTGTCCATGGGGCCAGTCTCAGCTGCTCCATTGGCTGATCCCCCGACGAGCGAGGGCTCGGCTGCCCCCCCACCTGCGAAGGTCACCACTGTTCCTCTAGCTTCATCTGAGAAGACTCTGTTGGAGGGAGAAGCTGGAGTTCGACGGATCCGGTTCGGTTCTACCGTTGGCCCCTTTTACAGCGGATCCGAGTGGGTTGCCCCCCTCCCTCTGAGGACCAGTCGGGAAACACAGGAGGTGGTTAAAACTGTTTATTAACTAAATAAACAAAACAAGATGCTGCCAGAGCAGCTAACTTACTTTAAGAAGGACACACAGAGAAACGGATCACAAAGCCTGATGAAGGACAATCTAGAGACACTGACAAAACACCAAGGAGCTGAATATATACAGACACTAGCGAAGGTGAAATGACAGTCACCTGTGAATGATTGAATTGACAGAGCTGGAACACAGGAGGAGAAACACTGAGGGGTGACTGGCAAACACGAAGAAACACAAAAGACAGGACCAGACTCCAGAAACCCTACAGTTCTGCTTGTTAAACTTTAACAGGTCATGTTCAGAAGGATGAAACTTGAAACTATGATGCGACCAGAGGAAACTGCGGGCATCCATAAAGGAAATAAAAAGTAGGAGGAAGTGCGATGTCTTTCAACTTCATTGCTTCTTTTCTCTTTTTGTCCCTCTGCAGCAAAGTGGTGCGTTTGTGTACGGAGCCATGAGTTTCACTGATAAGTTGGCCAATGGAGTCGCTGTGATGATGATTCAGGCCCTGCATCCCTGCCAGTTAGTGCACATACACACATACATATTTGTTTTTCTTTTTTTTTAGGACATTGCATTTTGTGTAGCCTAATGCTGACTGTATTATCAGCACATTCCTCACCCTAACAGCTCATCCAGTTCCACCCTAAAGAAGATTGCAGTTCCTGGTTTGGATTTAAAAAAACAAATATTTGTGATATTGCTGTGTTTGTGATACATGCATTTACTTTTTTACGTGTATTACTTGGCAGAGCAATACCATTATATTGGTAGAAGGATGTTAGAAATGCAGCTGCCAGGAAAAAAAACAAAGAGGAGATATATGGATGCAGTTAGAGAGGACATGAAGGTAGTTGGAGTGAGGACAGAGGACTCAGAGGACAGAGTGAGATGAAGGAGGAGGACTCGCTGTGGAGACGAAGACGGAGAGAAGAAACAGCTGAAACAAGAAGAATATGTAAAACTCAGCAACTGTGAAAGGCAGTGAGTGTAAAATTATACATTTGAAAACTTTACGTATGTTAAATTATGTGCGTAAAATACCCTTAAAGTTGACTGATTTTGCTGTTGTCATTTTTGTGTTTTTTTTAAGACCACTTTATTGTGGCGACTACCTCAAATCACAATATGTTCTAAAGTTAACTGGTTGTAGATTCATATCCTAATGCAGTGTTTGCAGCAATATCTGGTGATCTTAATCACGTTTTACTTTCTGCTACACTTCCAACATTCCAACAAATTGTCAGCTGCTCTACCAGAGAAAACAAATTGTAGGACTCGTTTTATGCAAATGTCCAGGATTCGTACATCGCCAAAGCAAGACCCCTCTTGGCAAGTCAGATCACAATTTTGCGTTTCTCTCCTCAGTTGTACCAGTTTAATTGTCATTATAATAAAACCCCTTGTTCAAATAGCATTCTAACAATAATTAATCAAAGTTTCATGTTTTGGATATGTCAATCTAACAGGCATTCTCTTCATCAGACTGTCATACAAAAACAGAGTGTCTTCAGTTCAATTCAGTTTATTTATAAAGCACCAAATCACAACAAAGTTGTCTCATGGTACTTTACAGAAACATTCACATAAAAGTATCCTGATGCATGCTCAATAATCCAGGTAGAAAAATCTAAAAAAGTTAAATCTGGTCCTCTGGACATTCAAAACAAAACAAAACAAAGCAAATCAACAAAAAAATGTCAGGAGTCCTGATGACTCCTAACTTGTGCTCCAAAGGGTGATGGGAGTCAAACTGCAAATACTGGTCTGTGTGGGTGGGTTTGCGGTACACCTCAGTTTGCAAATGTCCTCTATCAGAGACTGAGACCTCACAGTCCAAGAAAGCCAACCTGCCATTTTTTTACATCTTCTCGTGTGAACTTGATGTATTTATCCACAGAGTTGATGTGGTCAGTAAAATGTTGGACTTCCTGAGATTTGATTTTAACCCAGGTGTCGTCAACATACCTGAACCAATGACTTGGTGGTGTCCCTGAAAAGGACGTCAAGGCTCTCTTTTCTACCTCCTCCATGTACAGGTTGGCAACAATAGGAGAAACTGGAGACCCCATAGCACACCCATGTTTCTGCCTATAATATTGCTCCCCATATGTGAAGTAGGTTGACTGCAGGCACAGTTTCAAGAGTTGACACAGTTGTTCTGTGGAAAGCGTGGTCCTGCTGCTCAGAATGGTGTCAGATTTTAATCTTAAACTGACCACCTCTACTGCATCATCAACAGGAATGCACGTAAAGAGTGATGTGACATCAAAAGAGACCATTGTTTCATCAGTCTCCATGATGACATCCCTCACCTTGTCCACAAAGTCCATGGTGTTCTGTATGTGGTGTTCTGAGCTGCCAACTAAAGGGATGAGTACAGACGCCAGATATTTGGAAACATTGTAAGTGACAGAGTTAATCATACTAACAATTGGTCTTAAAGGTACACCTTGTTTGTGGAAGGACCTCTTGGACTGTGAGGTCTCAATCTCTGATAGAGGACATTTGCAAACTGAGGTGTACCGCAAACCCACCCACACAGACCAGTATTTGCAGTTTGACTCCCATCACCCTTTGGAGCACAAGTTAGGAGTCATCAGGACTCTGTATCACAGAGCAGACAGCGTCCCCACTAGCTCAGGAGCCAGGCAGAAGGAGAAATCCCACACAAGACAGGCTCTAGAGCAATGTGGATATCCTAACTGGGCCTTCCTGAAAGCAGAGAAGAAACCCAAACAGGACTCCAGTCAGCCAACAGGTGAAAAGGAGGAACCCAGACCAGTGGTCATTCCATATGTTGAGGGAGTATCAGAGAAACTGAGACGTTTATTTTCTAAACATAACGTCCCAGTGGCTTTTAAACCCCAAAATACATTACGGCAAAGACTGGTTCATCCCAAAGATCCAGTCCCCCGGCACAAACAGAGCAATGTTGTGTATGCTGTTCAGTGTCAGGAGGGCTGTGATCAGTCTTACATCGGAG